ATCACTGCATGGATTTTTAAAATTAGAATCAAAATATATTGGATCCAGCGTACTATCAAACTTTTATAAGATATAAACTTTATCAGATGGCGCCTATGCCGGGATTACAATAATTGAACAAACTTCAAATTATAAAATAAATAATTCTTCTACTTCACCATCACTGAGAAATTAATGCAATGTGCAAATGTAAGTATTTGTTTTGCTATGGAATTATGTTACGAGGCTTTTATCGCAGTATACTCTTCTCACTCCTTGTAATATTTAATATTCTGCTCGCGGAAGGAAATTCAAGCTATGTGCGAAATCGAGTGTCCTTTCGTCAATCGGTATTGTCAGCAGTTTGTTATTCTTGAAACATTGGCGCCACCAAGAAATTCCGTAGAATCAATTTGCTCTTCAATTTGTTTTATTGTATTTGTATAGAATATTTTTGATCAAAGTATTGAACAATAGATTTATTATTATTTATATTTGATAAAGAAATTATGTAATAATTATTGATCTATTTTGAATTAAAATCATGAAGCATAAACATTTGCTATTTTATAGGTTACGTGCCATATTATATCGACAATAATTGATGTATTTGGTATTTTAGAAGATTATTTTGTATATTAATTATTGGTGATTTCATGATCATTTAGTGCTTTTTACTTTCCTATCTGTATACAGATATAAGGAAAGTATAGGAATCATGATTTTTTTCGACCTCGAGTTTTCGACGGATTTTTACGTTTTGAGGTCCCCTGAATCCGTTTTGACTATTTTCGCGATGATGTCTGTGTGTGTGTGTGTGTGTGTGTGTGTGTGTATGTGTGTGTATGTGTGTGTGTGTGTGTGTGTGTGTGTGTGTGTGTGTGTGTGTGTGTGTGTGTGTGTGTGTGTGTGTGTGTGTGTGTGTGTGTGTGTGTGTGTGTGTGTGTGTGTGTGTGTGTGTGTGTGTGTGTGTGTGTGTGTGTGTGTGTGTGTGTGTGTGTGTGTGTGTGTGTGTGTGTGTGTGTGTGTGTGTGTGTGTGTGTGTGTGTGTGTGTGTGTGTGTGTGTGTGTGTGTGTGTGTGTGTGTGTGTGTGTGTGTGTGTGTGTGTGTGTGTGTGTGTGTGTGTGTGTGTGTGTGTGTGTGTGTGTGTGTGTGTGTGTGTGTGTGTGTGTGTGTGTGTGTGTGTGTGTGTGTGTGTGTGTGTGTGTGTGTGTGTGTGTGTGTGTGTGTGTGTGTGTGTGTGTGTGTGTGTGTGTGTGTGTGTGTGTGTGTGTGTGTGTGTGTGTGTGTGTGTGTGTGTGTGTGTGTGTGTGTGTGTGTGTGTGTGTGTGTGTGTGTGTGTGTGTGTGTGTGTGTGTGTGTGTGTGTGTGTGTGTGTGTGTGTGTGTGTGTGTGTGTGTGTGTGTGTGTGTGTGTGTGTGTGTGTGTGTGTGTGTGTGTGTGTGTGTGTGTGTGTGTGTGTGTGTGTGTGTGTGTGTGTGTGTGTGTGTGTGTGTGTGTGTGTGTGTGTGTGTGTGTGTGTGTGTGTGTGTGTGTGTGTGTGTGTGTGTGTGTGTGTGTGTGTGTGTGTGTGTGTGTGTGTGTGTGTGTATGTGTGTATGTGTGTATGTGTGTATGTGTGTATGTGTGTGTGTGTGTGTGTGTGTGTGTGTGTGTGTGTGTGTGTGTGTGTGTGTGTGTGTGTGTGTGTGTGTGTGTGTGTGTGTGTGTGTGTGTGTGTGTGTGTGTGTGTGTGTGTGTGTGTGTGTATGTGTGTGTCTGTAAGTCGCATAACTCATGAACCGATACACAGAAAAACACCAAATTTTAAACTTAAGCTTTGTTTCAGCGTCCAATGAGCTGAATAGATTTTGGGCAAAGTCGGAACATCTGGGGGGGTACTTTATAGGTGGTCATTTTTATATTTTATGGAATATATCTGTTATTTACGTTTGGAGAAGAAAATTCCTTGAATAAAAGTTACTTCTTATATTATTATCTATAATTTTTGTTTTATACAAAATTTTCCTAAAATGGTCCGTATTCGAGAAATTTGACAAAATGTAAAAAAAATAATTTTTTATAAAAATTGTTTAAATAAAAGTTGTTTGTAATATAATTCTCTATAATTTTTATCCTATAAATAATTTCTCTAAAATGGACCGTATTCGAGATATTTGAGAAAATGTGTAAATTTCGAATTTTGAAGAAAACTCAAAAACGGATAAAGGAAAAAACATTAAATTTTAAACTTAAGTTTTATTTCGACCTGAGGTGAACTTTTCTAAAATGGACCGTAATGGAAAAATTGGAGGAAAAGTGCTAAATTAAAATTTTTCATTATTTTCGTTTTCAATGAATATCTATAGAAAAATGTTTCGAGGTAGATGTATGTGGAAAATGTATATATTTAGTTTATCCTCTAAACATTTTTAGAGATGCTGCAATAGGTTAACTAGATAGGAAAGTCATGTGTTGGACACATCAGATTTTTTTATTTTTTATTGACTGACGGACAAAATATGGTTGCAGACTATTGATCGAACTGTTGAGGAATTATTTTTAGCTGGCTTTTCTTAGAATTTTGATGAAAAGGATTATTGCATTTTTATGAAAAGGTGTGTAAAATCATAAACCAATTCCGCTTATAAGGAATTATCCAATAATGAAAGCATTGACTTCAACAGACCTGAGTTATTTAAAAATAAATGATAGAGAAATGAGTTAACCCTTAGAGGACGGCTATGTGATTTTGACAGAAAAAATTGATGTTTTATTGTTTTTTATATTCTTTTGCATAAAATAAAACACATATATGCAATATTTTATTTATTTTTTTACAAACATTTGAAAAAAATGGTGGTTCAATAGTTTAACCACTAGGGCGCAACTACTTGATATGATATATTTGATAACAGTTTCTTTTGTCCGATAGGCATAGTTCAACTGTACAAATGGAACAGTGCCATTTGGTACGACGAGGTTCTAACTTGGTACTACAGTTGGCACATCGAACGCTAGTGCCATATTTTGGCAAATGAGCAGCTTTATCTGTTCTTATTTCTATTGGTACACGTACTTTGAATGGATTTTCTGCAGTTTGACTTCTTCTTGTCTCCGACACATTGAGATTAGCTCCGATCAAACCTGTTACTACTGACAATTTAAATTCCTTCAGTGGCATGCCAGTACCATCAATATTTTCTTTATAAATAAGATAAGCATTGACTTCTGTCAAATCAACGAAATGCCAAAATATACGGTGCTACCATTTTTTTGACTTGCGATTAAGCTCATAGCATTTTTTAGCATATCAGATTTATCAACATAACCCATATGTATGTTGTAATTTCTTACTAATTTTATACAACTCTTTTCTTCTATATGATCTTCTTCTTTTATACGATCTTGCTCTTCTATATCATCTTCCTCTTCTTCACTATCTTTCTCTTCCAAGTCTTCCAAATCTCCATCTTCTTCCAACCAATCTACATCATTATCACAAAATTCAACATCGGATGCGTTAGAACCTTCTGAAGGAATATCATCTAATAAAGCATAAGCTTGATCGCTATTTATTTTATTTATCTTCAATTTTCGACTCATTTTGAATATCTAAAACAGAGTGTTTCTTTAGCCCTAGCAGCCCTAGTGGTTTTATGCGAAATCACCAATCAAAATATAAAAAAGTATTAGAATTTCAAATAGAAATGGACATTTTCTTGAAAAATCAGTAAATATGTATCAAAAACTAATAAACTATTGACATATTGCATGATTGTTTAAAAAGATTTCAACACAAAAAAAATTAAAAGGCGTGTAAACAAAATCGCCAAAAACGCCACTCTATATGCTCAAACATCAGCGACTAAAAGCTCATTAAAACATACTTTGCGAATTTCTTGTTGAAGCCTGTCTAGTTGTGACTCATTTGTGTCGGTGGTTTGAGTAAATCGCGACTAGGAAGCAAGCTAAAAAATTTTAAAAAGGTGGTTTCACAGTGGGACACGACTAGGCCGCAAAGGGTTAACTGAGTAGGTTTATGTGATATTATTTATTTTTAGGAACATTTTTAATATATTTATTTATATGTATTTTAAGCTTACTACCTGTCGCTCATCAAAAGGCCTAAGGGAGTGTAAATGCCAAAGATGCCTCGATGAGCGATAACTGATGACAAATGTACTAATTTATAAGAGTCTACCTACCAAATTAGCGCACCCTCGCACCATAAATTTGTATTACATCGATTAACATCCACTTAAACATCGCCTATCGATCATCATTACACATGTAAAGCAAAAGATGACAATTATAATCTTTTTTTTTTACTACTACTAACCAGAGAAATCATCATTATTTACTATGTTCCTCTATTGAGAAGTAATATTTCTCTCCCTAGGTAAATAATGATAATAGAAAACACCTAAGTAATTAATGAAAACATTTTAAAAATTTTTAATAGAATAAACAGAAACTCTTATTTGTTAACATAATTCTACACAAAAAACACTGATAAATGGTATGAAGAAAACTATAAAAAAATTAATTTTAGTTAATTGTAATTAATTGTACAGTCAGTCGTGGCAAATCATGTGTTTTCCTGCATTTCCTGTTTTAATATAACTAACATTTGTAATAGGTATATTTGCTTCTATATTATTAATAATTCTCTTATTTTATAAACATTCATTAGCACTACATTATTAGTAGCATGAAAGTTTTCTAGGACAATCTTGACATGCAAATAGAGTTCAAACATAAACATTTATTAGAAGAGGTAGGTTTTTGTATTAACTCAAAGTTTTCAAAAATATCGACAAAAAAACGATCTTATGTTAGGCTAAAAATTTACACATCAGCTCTTTGGAGGCTACAGATGAGATATAGGTACAAATGGTACAAAGGATACTATTAATTGTTACACATGGACAGAAAATCTCAGAAGCAAGGGATCTAATGAAATTTCATCGATGTTACATACAAAAATCACTTTTTTGAGTTTTACAAACGTTACTGTAGTGAAACTTTATTGTGATGGATGCCCAGGACAAAACAAGAACGTCACTATCATAGGTTAGTATTTTTATTTTTTTTGATCATCCAATGTAATTTTTGTTGTTTTGCCTATGTAGGTATCCTGATGAATTGGCTATACTTTACCAGATCTGCTGTTGGGGAGATTCACGTCATCTATCTATTGTAGGTCACTCATATTTACCACCAGACAGAATTTTCGGAAAAATAGAGAAGGTTGTGAAAAGAAAAGAGGTCATAATAATTGATCCAAAGGAGTATAGTACTATATTTTCCGAGTTTGCGACTGTACTAGACATGGAAAGTGACTTTGATGTTTTTGATTGGAAAAAAGCAGTCGAGACTCATGTGAAACCACCTAGCCAATGGCATTTCCAATTTTCTTCGGCGAAGCGGATGATAATTAAGAAAGAAGCTAGTTCATCAGGATAAAAGTCCTTGTTAGAGGTGAAGCTAATTACCGCGCCTATATGGGAGTCTGTGGTGAAAAAAGGAAAAAGTCTAGCGACTATTATTCCAGAACTATTTCCAAAAAAAAAATCGATTCAATCCATTGAAGTTAAATGAAGAAGGTAACCTTTTAAAAGAACTTTTTGATCCAGATTGGAGAAACGTGTGTAAGGTAGATTTAACGTTTTATCAAAGTATTATTGATAATAATGATGACAATAAGCTTGAAGCGCCTGGTGAAGATACCACTCTCTCCAACGAGGAAGAAGATGGTCTTCGGATCTTATATTGGATATTCCATTTTTTAATTTTCTCTTTGATTTCAATAATTTTTTGAAATTCAAACATAGATACAGGGGCGGATTGTCACCAAAATTTTGAGGGTTCACAGTAGCAGAATATAGATCCCGGTACAGATATAGGTAAAAAACTGTGTTTTAGAAAGGTATATTATAAACTTTCTAAAACAATGAAAGTTTTTTCATACATCTGTACTGATACCTATATTCTGTCACTGTGAACCACCCCACAAGCCGCCACTGTATAGATATTAAATTTAAGTATTTTAGTTAAAATCAATAGTTATCTTTTTCTGATGTAACAAATGTCAAACTAGATGGTACCGTTTAATAAACTGACATGTGTCCAAATAATTTTGAATATGTTTGATATATATATATATATATATTTTCCTTTGCAAATCATTGTTAAATATGAAACACAATATTAAATATATATAATATACAGTGTGTTTCATAAAGTTGGATCCATATGGGAGTTTTTTAATTAGTACAATTGGAAAAAACGTCGTAAAGTCTCTGATTTTTAAAAACTTAAAATAGCCAATATTAAATTTGGCTAGGTACTGCATTAGTTGTTTGTCAAAATCTGTATTTTGTTGAAAGATAGTTCAAAAAAAGTTTTTTAAATGGGAATTTGACAGAAAAACTAATATCAGAACAATATTGAAATGGACTATTTTATGTTTTTAAATAAGCAGAGGCGATTGAACTATAATATATTTTTCCAAAAATTAATATAAAAAAAATCTCATATAGATCCAACTTTATGGCAAAAGGGAGACCAGGATGGTTTCCTCCTGAAGGTGGGTAGTCAATATTACGAAGAACTGCGATGGGACAAGACGGGGCTAATGAATGAAATTATTAACCACCTTATCCTCGGCATGGTCTCGGACTCGCTAGTTCCCCAACAGCACATAAAAAAGCCATACAGCGTCTTCATTCCAGAGAGAGACGCATGGAGCAGAGGGGAAAAACCCTCTCCCAGGCAGACTATGCGTTGTACACGGACGGCTCTAAAACTAAAAAAGGAGTAGGAGCGGGAGTTTGGCCGACATATCAATAATCCTAGGCTCTTTGGCCACGATCTTTCAAGCAGAAATGATTGCTATAGAATTGGGAGCGAGAGAGTTGAATAATTTTCTTCCCGCAAACAAGACTATAAAGATCTTTTCAGATAGCCAGGCAGCCCTTAAGGCCCTGAGCTCCAATCGAGTTGGCTCAAAGCTGGTTTGGAACTGTATAAATACCCTAGAATGCCTCGGTGCCCGGAACAAAGTTACTTTGATCTGGGTTCCGGGACACAGTGGTGTGGAGGGCAATGAAAAATCCAACGCACTTACTAAAAGAGGAACCGTATTTGTGTTCATAGGACCAGAACCATTCCTGGGCATTTCAAAAAACCACTGCCAAAGAATTATCTTAAAATGGACGGAGGGTGCAATACTCACGAACTAGAGAGATACCCCAAGACTGATCCATTCGAAGGCGTTTATAACCAACCCAACCAACCCATCTATGAACGCCTCTGCTCAGATCCGAGAATGGAGTAGGAAAGATCTACACATTTTCACTGAACTGATGACAGGACACTGCCGTCTGGGCAACCACATGAGAAGGATAGGTCTGCAACAAACATCGGACTATCGATTCTCCAGCGTGGAGGACGAGTCTGCAGAGCACATTTTATGTACCCGCTCCGCTCTGGAAAGAACCAGGTTCCAGATCTTTGGATTTACCCGACTGGAGCCTACCGACTGTAAAGAAGTCTCACCCAATTCAACCATGACCTTTATCAAAAGGTGTGGCTTGTACGGTGAATTATAAGTTAGTCATGAGCCACAATAGACTCATCTGGGTAGCAGTGGAAGGCGATGAATTCATCTCACTCATTTTTAACCCAACCTAACCTAACTTTATGGCACACACTGTATATCTATTAAACATTTATTGCAAAGTGAAACAACTTTCTTAAACCATTTATTTGTTTTTATTGATTTTTCCGAGAACGGTAACCAATCCTTAAAGACCTCATAACGTTTCTGCAAAACAGAGCAGATACTTTAGAAAAGTTTGAAACCAGATTTGTCAAAATCTAGTCCCATAAAGAAGCACCTTCACCATTTCCTTCAAATAAATTTTCTTCTTGTCTAATAAATCTTACCGTGGCTCCTGTGTATTTTGTAAGGGTCCTCACAAAAATGGTGTAGTGCCATTATAGAGCGTCCCATTAGCGACCGCGACCAAAAACTACCTGCTCGAGTGCCACTACCCGCCCGCGCAGGGTTTACTTATTTTTGTATATCCTACTACCGACCACGAGATTCTATCACATAATAAATATGTTGTAGTTCTGAAAAGAACTGATTTTGTTTTAGCAATTTACATTTTAATAATTATTGATAAGGAATATTTTTATTTCGCTTTCAGTTAGAAACTATATTAAACGCTTCCCGTAATATTATACATTGAATTCTTATTTTATTTAATTATTATTAATATTTAATTTATAATTGAACAATAAGAAAATCAATTGACCCGGTTATTTTCGGAAATAAAATTAAAAATAAATTAATAAATACGAAGATTAACAATCATAAATAATATGTGTTATGAATTGACTAATGACATCAAAACATTCATAAGTATCTGGTTCAGATGTTAAGTGCGGATTGCCATACCTATCTACATACCTGCTGACCGAAAATCACTCATCCTCATTTGCAATAAAAAATAACTTTGAATACTTACTAATCATGGGCGTCACAGATACATCTAGAAATCAACCATCTTAATACGAGGTACTTCAATTGAAAGCTCCGCCCACAATTGGTCTTTTACCCAATAATATTACTTAACTATGAGTATAATTAGTACTTAAGGACGTAAAAGTAAATGGAGCATTTAGTTTCAACTGCATCCTTGAATAGTAATCATGGATAAGGTAGAATTTTTGAAAGGTGCCAAAGGTAATGTGCAAGTTATTAGTGGAGGATTCAAGTATTTTTTAAGAAGGACCAACAAAAACCAGAGTAAGAACTGGAAATGTATAAACGGAGATTGCAGTGGACGAATCACAACAAATCAAGAAAATGAAATAATAAAGACATTTACACACAACTGTCTAAAAGCTCCTAATGAGGCATACACAGATACTGAAAAATGCATTGCAATATGCAGAGAACGTGCTGCGGAAGAAATTACACCAATACCAAAAATATATCAAGAGGTGTTTAATTAAGAAAGCAAAAGACAAAGGCTCAGAGTTCGTGACAAAAATTCCAGAGTATAAAATCAACCTTATACCGACAACGAAATAAATCTTTGGGAATACCACAACTACTAAAAACGCGTGAAAATCTTGTGATTCCTAGTCACATAAATGAAGAGTATTTTATGATGGTGCTCTACTGACAGAATTATTGGTTTTGCAAGTAAAATGGGCATTAATACGTTAGCATCAAGCAGCGGTATTTTTGGAGATGGTACATTTAAAAGTTGCAATTCTTTATTTAATCAATTCTATACTTTTCATATGGATTTAAGAAACACCGAAGAAGTCACATGTACTCGACCAGTATTGTATACTTTGTTGCCAGACAGGAAGAAACAAACTTATATGAGGTTATTTCAACTGGTAAATAACCGCATTCCAAATTTTACACCCAAACAGTTGAAAATAGATTTCGAAACTTCAACAATCAGTGCTTGTACATGGAAAAAAAATTGTAGAACAAATTTCTACAATTGTAGATTTTTTCTCTACAATAAATAGTACATATAGGGACAGGGACAATTTGTAGTAAAAATTTCCAAATATTTGTGGAGAATGTATTGTAGAGTTATTATCTACAATATTTAGTAAAAAGATCCAAATGCATCATAAGAATTGTTCTACAAATTGTTATAATTTTTGCTATTCATTGTATGAATTTATATTAAAAATGTATTGCGTTTTATGAAAATAAATACGAAAATTTTACACAATAAATAGTAAAAATTCATACAAATTGTAGTAATTTTTACTAAAATTTGTAGTAGTATTCCATAATTATTATAATTATAACCTAGAAAAAAATGTTCCTTAATAAAATATTCAATTTATTGTTTTATTAAAAAAGATACAAATTCTTAATTACATTATGTAATAAATAACAGTAATAATAGCGCCCTCAGTCTCAGTTGGCTTTTCTGCACCTGAAAAATATGAAATAAAAAATTAATACCAATTGAATTGTTCATTACCCTTAAAACGGGGATATTTATCACCTTTACACTGATTTGGATATTAAATGACTAAGTCAGATAACTAACAAAAATGAGAAAGTAGGTATGTCACAATTAAGACAAAAAACATCATTGAACTTGGCACAAAATTCGATCGTTGGGCACAACATTCGATCGTTGGCCACAACTATTTTTTTAAAATAATCTACTAAGGTTATTTAAATTAGTTATCTAAAGGTAAATTATTCAGAAACAATAATAAATGTACTTACCACCAATAGAATTTATTATTAAAATTTTCTCAAACGCATCGGTGCTTATAATATAATGTGTTATAGGTACTTGTATATGTACCATGCTTTGTTATGTGAACATGGCGAACGGCTACTGCTGTCTGGCCCTTTATGATCGACGTCAGAAAACGTTGGCCAAATAGCAGAATTCTGTTTTGTTCACATGACTTAGAATTTCTACAATATTATAGAATATTTTTGAAGAAGGGATGTAAAGTATTACTATTTTTTGTAGAGAAAATTAATATTTTTTGTAGAGATAATTATTAATATTTGTACAAATTTTTACAGAAGTTAGTAGTAGTAATTACGATAATTGTAATAAATTTCTACTTCTACAAACAATAGTAAAATATACTAAACATTGTGGACTTCTTTCCTATTGTTGTAGCATTTTATTCGACAATTCAATTGCTACAATAATTAATAGTTTTTAACTATAAATTGTAGTAAAGTTTTCTACAAATTGTTAAATATTTTTCTACAAGTCTACTACTACAACATTGTAGTAAAATTTTCTAGTCACATTTTTTTCCGTGTAGGGAAGTTTTTCCAGACTGTAAGCTCAAAGGATGCAATTTTCATTTTAGTCAATTTATAACACATATTATTTATGATTGTTAATATTCGTATTTATTAATTTATTTTTAATTTTATTTCCGAAAATATCCGGGTCAATTGATTTTCTTATTGTTCAATTATAAATTAAATATTAATTAAATAAAATAAGAATTCAATTCAATAATATTACGGGGAGCAGTTAATAGAAATAAGGATAAGATTGATCCTATGGATCAGTCTGGTGTTTACAAACTAACTTGTTTGAACTGTCCATGCTCATATGTGGGAAGGACCTTTCGTAATTTTAAAATACGCCTGAAAGAGCACACACGCTGTCTTAACACTAACACTACTGGTTTTTCTCACTTTGCTGCTCATTTGTTAGACACTGGTCACGATTTTGATTCTAGCATTGGCTTCGACATTTTGCATATAACTTCTAATAAATTCCTTCTGAATAACTTTGAGAACCTGGAAATTTTAAAAAATATTAAATCTGGCCCCCTCCTGCTCTCTGAATGCACAAATTCAATTTATTAGTACCCCAACGTTCTCTGCGCTTATTTAAATTATTTTCAGACTTTTACCCCCACTCATTTGATCTTCAGTCAGTTACTTACCACAATTAACTCTCCCAATTTAGATTTTTCTTTCCATTAATTTTTGCCCATTCGCATCTTATTAAATTTTTTAGCTTATTCAAATTCTCCCACGTGGTTGCCATACGCCAAAATTTGACTTTTCTTTTTTGATATTCGTACTGTCAACCTAGTTTCCGTTTCCTGTAACAGTAATTTTTCTTTTGATTATCTGCTTCAAATTTCCCTTTTACATATGAATTTTCATATTTTCTTGTTTAGTGTTCTAATTTTCCTTGTTAGTATAAAAAAAAATTTTTTTGCTTTCTCATTCTCAGTTTAATATATTTTACTTTCAATAAATTTTGTCACCCGCCACCTATACTCACTTTCATTAAATAACACCTTCGTTAGTACACTATTTATCCGCTAATTTAAAATTTACAGTTTACTGCATTGATTCGTTAAAAAATCTAGATAGATGTCTTGACAGTCTGATAATTTTTACTTTTTTACTTTTTACTTTCAGTAATTAACATTATATCCTTAAAATTTTTTTAAACTGTTTTGTGCTTGTAAAACTATTTTGTGTTGTTTAGTTAATAATTGTCTTAAATGTGTTTTAATTAATTATTTTATTCAAACAGACATCTGGTGGTTTAACCTAACCTACATTAAAAAATTTTTTAAAAAATACTTATTACACATGACTTTTTTAACTCGTTCTGTTAAACTTTTTGTAGCGCTTCCTTTATGGAATTAGTCAAGGTGAGTCAAGGTTATTGTTTAACTTTCTTTTTGTGTTTTTTCTGTTATTTTGTATATGTTAAAGTCCGTTCATGCTTTTATAATTGTTTTTATTACAACTGACTCCTTGACATTCCATTTAGGTGTGCCTGATGATGAAGTGACAACTTCGAAACCGGTCGCCAATTAAATTGACTTGTGAGAAATAAAGGACCTTTTCTTTAACCCTTACACTTAAGCAGTTAATATAGATTCTAACTGAATGCGAAATAAAAATATTCCTTATCAATAATTATTAAAATGTAAATTCTTGTAAGTTCTTTTCAGAACTACAACATATTTATATTTACATATTTAGTGGGATATAAAAAAAATAAGAAAACCCTGCGCGGGCGGTAGTGGCATTCGCGCAGGTAGTTTTGGTCGCGGTCGGTAATGGGACGGTCAGTACAGGGATATAGCCTCACAAAATATCTTGAATAATTAACGAGATGTGAATTTCCCAGTAATTTTGAGACACCCTATATGGACTATTGTAAAATGCAAATAAACTATTATTTTTAAATAAGTAAATTAATTAAATAATTGTGCATAAACTAATTCTGCCAAAGCATCCTGACCTCGAAAATGTTTTATCTTGGATTAGTATATCTACCGATTTATAAACAGGACAACTGCATAACAACTTTATTAGTTCAAAATGGAAATTGATAAGATAAAGGTTGTGTTAGAAGTGTTGATAAAAGATCTTAATAAACCAAGTTGTAAAAATCGAAGGAATTTTAAAAATTTAAGTGGTTTAAATAAGCAAGTAAATGGAAACAAAATAGACGTTCAAAAGTTTAAAAGTGGTGTCAAGAAATTAATAAGCGATTTCGAAGACGAGAATTTTGAAGATTATACTACTAATTCAATATATGAGTATTTATTAATAGTATTTTCTAATACAACACATTCTCAAAGATTCTGTGAGCTGCACAATATTTTAAAATATTTTTATAATAGATTAGTTCAAAAATGGTTAGAACTTGAACAAGCCGCATCAATCATTACTAACAAAAAATTTAACCAAGTTGTGAGAAAACTAATACCTTTTGTTAAACTGGCAATGGTCAGTGATCAACTTACACCAATTAATATTGAACAAGCTCTGCAGGAGTTATACGAGGTTATACTATATCCAAATATATCCAGAGAAGATTGTTATGAAATTATAAGGAATAAAGTTGGAACAACCGATGTTGATTTTGTGGATTTTCAAGTTAAACCCGTGAATGAAAGATTTGGTGCTATAGCAGATTATTATAGGCTTAAAATAAACGTTAAAGAAAATGGAGAACAGAATACACAACATTTATTTGTAAAAGTTCTCCCTTCATTTCTGGATCAGACAAGAGCAAACTATACAAGAACTCTTTTTGTAAAAGAACAAATATTTTACTCCGAATTTATTCCTTTTTTAAGGAAGTTGGGATTAAATGAATTTCTTGATTTTTTACCAAATTGTTACTATTCAAATGACAAATGTATGATATACGATGATGTTTCTGTTAAAGGTTACAGTAATTTAGATACACAGATAACATTAAATGACGAAAAGTTATCATCCATGTTTAAACAATTAGCTAAATTAAACTCTACTGGTATTTTACTAGAAGAAAAACTACCGAAAGTAATTGGAAAACCTGTTTATTTGAACGACTTTTTCAAAGATATGGTGGTTGAAATTTTAGAACCCAATAAAAAAAGGATTTGTTGAGTTTTTTGACTGTGGTTTTACGGACCTCTTACCACATTTTGAATAAAATTCCCGAATTTTGTGAAAATAAAAATCTTGATAACTTTAAACTACAAATTTCTGCTACCATGGAAGACTTCTATGAAAAAGTTAAGCCATCAAAAGTTAGCCGTAATTTTTTATGCCACGGTGATTGTTGGATAAATAACTTTTTATTCAAGAAAAATAGTGCAGCCCCTTTCTTATTAGACTATCAGATTTTGAGGTATTCGTCTCCTGCTTTAGACATTCAATTTGTTTTATACCTCCATACAGATAAAAAAACACGTGATAATTTCGGAACTAAACTTTTAAATGAATATTACACAAATCTAAAACAAAATTTAAAAAAGTATGAAGTTGATATCGATGAAATTTATTCGTATGAAACTTACCAAAAATCGTTGGAAAAATTTAAATCAATCGCAATGATAGTAGCACTCTCTTATATGCAGTTGAATTTGTTGCCAAAAGAAACTAAACATTTATTTAACGATCCCGTATGGGTTAATAGGGTCCTGACAGAAGAACGAACAGATGTCATCGATAAATATTGGGATTTAATGGAAGTAACCAAGTTTAAAGATATTTTTGACGAATTATATATTTCGTTAAATAAAAATTGATTTAAAATATTTCAAAATTTGTAGAAAAAATAATAGGATATAGTTAATGTATAAATAAATTTTAATAATACATAATATATTGTTATCGATGTTTTATTTTTATTGGAGAATATTTATAAAATACGTCTTTTTTTCGTTGACATATATTTCAGCTGTTTAAGTCTGAGTTGTTTTGATTTAACCATGACCTAGCTATGATCAACATTATTTCCATTCGCTCAAAATATTTTTTATTGCACTGCTGAACCTCGAAAGGTTTAAAATCATTGAATTAATAATATCGTATCTAAAAATAACTTTCACATTACATAAAAAAAAAAGTAAAATTCATTACAATTATTTTAAAACAGATAATTCAATTTACAAAGCATATTTAAATATTTGCTAACCTGTTAATGTTATGTGTAATTCGAGTAGAAAGTCCTTTGGCACTTTCTGTCTCAATTGTCAAAGTGCTCCTTTCTGCTCTTAATACAGAAATAGCTATTAATTTCTACCGTTTTTATTTCATCTGAAACTCAACATTTTCGACTCTAAAAAATTTAAAGTTTTTTCCGTTGTTTTGACTGTCTAGTTTTTAGAAAGGACAAACCTTAGAGCTGTGAGAGAATCCTGAAATATACTTTTTACCCAACCTGGTCTTTGCAAATGCAAAGCCAACATGAAAATAATGGGTTTTTCCCCATTTTCCCAGGTAGAACTGTTCATAATTTTTTATACACCCTTATAGATATTATCTAATACAGGCACAGACTACAAAACGAAAAAATATGCTATTGCGTTCAACTGAACGAATATATTTTATATCAATTCTAAGTAGTGACGACACTGCAAAAAATCCACCAATCACACTTCATATTGTGGTCATCAAACCAATATTATTTTTAAAATTTTAAACAAATGACAATTCTGTCAAACTAATTCAGTATATTTTTTAGTTATTAAGATTACATAAACATTAAAATGAGTTATTCTTGTGTAGAGTCGATAAATAATACTATTTCTATTATTTCGTCTATAATTATGGATACATTTTTTCTTTTTTTTTGTCTTTTTCTTTTTTTTTTCTTCTTTCTTTTTTTTTCTTTTTTCTTTGTCTTTTTTCCTTTTTCTTTTTTTTTTTCATTTTATAAATCACTGCGAAATGCGAACAAAATACAGAAATCGATAATCTTTTTTTTTTAATTAATCGTTAGTTTTAGATTATTCGAATATTTTTGATTTTTCAAAGAAAATTATTATTTTTTTTAATTTGGGTTTGCATTAAGTATAGTTATTATTATCTGTGAGTGTGAGGTGGAAGAGGACGTGCCAAAAGGAAACATTAACTTCTTAATTTGCCGACGTTTCGACGTTTATTTTTCGTCTTTTTCATGGCTTATTAAATTAATTAATGCAAAGCACATGGCATATGTGGAATTTGCCGAAACAGTTAGAACAATACATAAATAAAATCTAATACTAAAAGTAACATTTACACACAGATATCTTAAAATGATGATAAAATTACTCAAAAAAATTTTGATTTTTTAATTTAATTTTAATTTAAAAGAACTGAATTTTTCTCTTTGACGTGGACATTTCTTAGCCAACTTTAGTGGCGTTTGACGTGTTAATCAAAAATAATCGAGTTATCGAAAAGAATTGACTAATCAAAAAGAATCGATGAATCGGAAATAATCGATTAATCTAAAATAATCGATTAATTAAAAAGAATCGATGAATTGGAAATAATCGATTAAAAGAAAATAATCGAGTAATCGAAAGGAATCAATGATATATTTTGATAATTGTCTGGCCTACATATATCCTAACGTTTTTAGCAATAATTTTTAGCAACACAATTATTTAAATAGGATGTTTTATTTGAGTAATTGGCATTTTTTTTATTAATTTTCTATACTAAAATTTACAAAAAAATCGTCTACTCTCAAACTAGTCAAAAATGCTGAAAAATCTACAAAAAAAAATGGAAATCTACTAAATTTGGCAACGTTCGATGTCAGTCAGTGTTACTTGATCAAACGAAGTTGACTGTCGTTATTCGTAATCTACGTGCCATGCACAAAATAGCGTTGTTTTAAGCGATCACACGATTTACGGATCTGTTGGCCTCTCTTTTAGCTACAAGCATTCGCAGAAACTCTCGCGTTGAATCAGCATATTGCACCGACAGACGCGACCAGCCAGAACGCAGTGGCTTACCAAAAAATTGTAGAGATTACATTTACATTTTTACATTTTTAAGTTTTTTATGTGATTTTAAAATAATGTGTTTTTATAAAATTTATCAGGGAAGTTTATACACAAATCGTCACCAATATCACGATGTGACGTAATTCGATTTTCACAACTTTACAAGAGAGCGTTTTAAAGTTTTTTTTTTATATAGTTATGTCTCTTCGTGAAATTATCCGATACACCGGTTAGATACGTGCTATTTTAATAAATGTAATGAATTGAAATACGCAATTTCGTGAAATTGTAGAGCATACTTTTTTATATAATATGTGACTTATCACAATTTTCAATTTTTTTGAGTTACGTCACTTCGTGATATTGACGACGAAATGTACCAATGAAGAAACCACTTCTGCTTACAAACATATGATGTCTTATAGAGGCGTATCGCTTAGCTTTAATCGCCAATACTTCATTACAGCATAGAAACTTTGAGAATGATATTTGACACATTGACAGTAAAATATAAGTCAAAACGAGCATTCCAAGGGCAAGTTCGAGATGACGCCCTATGGAGTGGACAGGGCATGAGCAAAGTCCTGTCCAGTCAGAGAGCAAATGCAGTAACATCTCGAACGCACTCAGAGGAAAAAACATAACCTCAGTCCACTATGTCAGTCAATGGTTAGTTAATTATTATGCATTACAATAGAATATCATAAAATAAACTTTCTGAATTTACTTATAATAATCTATATGAATTAAATAATTTTAAAATACAAATATTACCTAGCCCAAACCCACAGAAAAATAATATGTGACATTCGTTGACATAATTGATATTTTATTATTTAACTTTTCGATAGAACTTGATTGTCTAACACAGAGTTAGAAGAGTGCACTCGGAGTCCATTCTCAGAGTCATATCCACATACTTTGATTTTCTCTTACTATACGAAGAATGGTCGCACTGCGCAGCTTTCTGAGTGCCTTTTAAAAGGAGATAGAAAACTCCGCCATGTTGATGCCTTATTACGTGTTGCCTATATATTGGCGCAATATTTTTAATATTTTGCTTGCTGCTGACAGTGTCAGTGAATATTATTTTTGGAGTCACAGTTTATTGCTAAAGAATCAGTTAGCTCACTCGGACCAGTTAAATATTTCAAAATAACATCCACTCCAGGGATACAAATTCAGGATGGGCAGAAGACTGCTGTTTTATTATAGGCGGTTGTCATATATTGTATTATCCGAGTTGCGCAGTGTATAAACTGGAACGTTGAGATCAAAAGTGCCGACGCAGAGTGAGCGAACTCATTCTTTAGCTATAAACTGTGGTAAAGGCATCAAAACGGCCGCGCCCTATGTTGGGCGTTTCAGACCTCTCTCTTGCACCGTATAGTAATCAAATTATATGGTCATATCGAACACGACAGATCACACTTCGAAGCTCTAAAAAACGCGAAAATGAACTCATAGCAACCTGAGTTTCTACTCAAACTCACGGCAAGAATAATTTGTGGATTTTCTGTTTTTATAATAAGATTCTTTGTAAATTTAACAGCATACAAACATGTTTAGAAAGTTTGCTTCTTGTCTTGAGATAAAATTAAATGAACCTCACTTGGCAGTATAACTATACACTTTCTATCATTATGTAATGTAATTTATCATTGTACAATTTGAAAAAATAATATATTTTATTTTGCAGGAGAGCGTCTGATACAATTCGCCTCAGAGAATCTCGTCACCGAGATACTGATCCATCCAGCTGTGAGCACGCTTGCGCAATGCATGCGAAACTTACTAAGTAGCTTTACTAGACATCGCCACATCATCCATGCCGGATATACCTTCGCAGCTAATGGTTCTTGGGCTCTTCAGGTATGACAAAACGAGATCATAGCATTTACTTTCCTCATCTCTTCTTTAACTTTATTTTGTTTCCTTTTTGAAATTTGGGATTTTAGATCTGGCGCTTGGATCCAATAATGTTTAAACCTATAAAATATGTTTTTTCACGACCACTACATACTTTTTCCGAAACTACTTATAATAACAGAAAGAAAACATTCTTAATTAAAAGAAAATTCAGAAACACTTCCCTCATGTATTTTACACGTTATTTCTTTCTAAATCTAGAGATAGAATGTTCATTATTTCGTAGCTCTGGCCAATGGCTGTGAATACCACGCCCGCCTCGTAGATAGTTATGAATTTCATGACTGACAGTAATACGCGACGTATTAGTATTTAGTCTGAATTTGCCTGAATAAAGTGTAAGAGGAACTTAAATTCAAAAATTGGTGAATATAATGATTTTTATATGGAATTTAATAATATTTCTCCTGAACTGACAAAATACACAAGTAATTTAAATAAAAACTAGCCTAATATAAGTCAAATATTTCATTTTGTTTACAAAGTTTTATTTTACTATATTCAACTCTGTTGCAATGAAAATCCTTCAACCTTATTACAAAATATACTATTTTGATTATTTAAAACTGTAAAATATCATCCAATGACAATCATTTTATATTTCAACACAAGCCAATCAACACAAAAAGTATCTCAATCCCAATTGGATTTAAAAAATTAGATTCATTGAACATAATAATGATTTATGCGAAACGACAATGTAAAGTTTGGATTTAAAAAAATCAACTTATAATTTCCAAAGAAACAACAAACTCCTTGGTATTATCCTTAAAATCTGCCTTTCTTGATATTATTTATACAAAAGTGTTCCTATAGTT